TTCCTATATAAACAGACAGATGACTTGGAATACATGGAAGGTGCCAACTTCACAAGAAGCTACCTTCTGAATTCCTGGAAACAGAACTTATCTCAATACTGAACGCCAGTCTCTGTACAATAAATGAAAATAATTTAACAAAAACTATTTGCTTTTAGAAGACCTACTAATTTGTTTTATCAGACTATCTTTAGTATTCTTTTTCTTTATTGCTTACTATACAACACACCAGTACTTAGGTGGTGTTGAACATGCCCTACTCTCAGCTTCAATCAGGAAAGAACAGCCACAAATCAGTCCAAGTTTGAAAACAGATGATTCAACAATCAAATTAAAGTTGGGTATCTCAACACTAGCATTATGAAGCTGAGTTCAATATTAAAATCTCACATTTCAAAGTAGCGGAAGGGTTATGTTGTTTATATTTATTAAGTAATTTATATCAGAATCCAGCTACAAGCAGATATAAGTACTTAATACAATATATTAGCAGTAGTCGGTGACAGCACTTGAGTAACTTAAGTTTGCATTAGTGCTTTTTCTTTTAACTTGCAGAGCCTTAATGAAATTCAGAGGGAGAAAGCTGCTGACTCAAAAGCTGGCATGTGACATTCCTTACAAGCTTAGGAGATCCCCACTCTAACCCTTAAAAAAATGACGACACTATTGCATTGTTAGTTGGCTTTCAACCAAGCAGCTGCCTTCCAGAAATCCTGTTATAAAGCTGACAAAGAATGCTGATGCACAACATTCCTGATCAGCATCCAGTTGGAACAGATTTCAATCCAATAACTGGTTCTAAATATGCTGAACTAAAAAGCTTTGTTGTGTACAGTGCAGGCTTCCAAACAATACCGTAAAACAAGAAAGATTGCAAATACTGGGTGCTTTGTAACAGTTTAAAAGAACCAACTCCCTCACAGCTTTTTAAGTCTCTTATTGATTTATTTAAAGCACACACACACACACACACACAAACACAAACAACAACTAGCACCCAAATGTTTTTGCAGAGATACTGAGCTTTAAAAAATTAGTGTCTCTGGTGTCCATTCTTACTCCAAGGCATCTTGCTGGAGATCAAAGATGTGCAATTTAAGAGTAGTAGTACAAGTGAAACATAAGGTCAGTTGTTTATGCAGTGATTAAGACCTCTGTGGAAATCTTGCAAGATATGCATTGCCAGCTACAGCACGCAACTGGAATTTAAATTAGTGAATCTAATACACAAACAAAAAGTATCCAGCTTCTTAAGAAGAGTAAGATGCTATTAGACAAGAAACTGATGCAGAAGGAAAAACAACTGTATAATGCAACAATGTGACAGGGCAATTTACAGTAAGTGGACATGACAAAAGCTTGGTATAGCAACAGTTAGTGATATTGTCAGTTTCAAGTGGAGTTCCAACGGGACCACCAAGATGCAGTCTTATGTTTGGATTCTGTCAGGCCCCTCTGCCCACTGAACCTCTTGTCTTTATCTTTGCTTAATGCCTCAAAATTTGAACTTTTGTTCTTCTACTATTGTTATTCTGAGATTATGAATGGAAGAGCTCTTTCTGTTTGCAGCAGGAATAGGAATTCAGAAAATGCTGCCAGGGTGCAGGGCAGGGTAACATTTTCCGCTACCCTCTCCTTCCCCCAGCAACCCCTTTCTCATGATGCTCCAGAATGTCACCAAATGGTGCAAACCACAAGGGGATGCAGGGGGAATGGCAGAAAATGCCACTGCCCCCCCATCCTAGTGGGAGCTTCCTACCAAATGAACTCCACCCACAGGTTGTTCCCACCAGCAGAACTTTAGTTAAGATCTGATCCCAAATTATTATTATTTTTGTTCTTTTACATGCTTTTCTGTTTTTAATGTAGTATTAATTCTGTTAACCGAATACAAAACTAAAAATATAGCATGGTCTATGATAATTTCCTCGTTCAACGCTAAATAAGCTACATGTCATAAACACAGCTTGAAACATAATATTGTAATAATGAAATAATTTTTATAATGTCTTAAAATATGAGAAAAATAGCTTTTCCCAGGGCAAGAAAAAACATGATTTTCCTGGCAAAGCCTACCCCTAATAAATACCATGCAAACCCTACCATTAAGTTGAAAGTAATCTTCATTTTAGGCAAGCATTATCCAGAAGCAACTTTTGAAAATAGTTTTAAAGGCTTTATTATTTTTATAGCATATCCTCCAGATTGTTGATAATAGCAGGCTGATATTTTTGCGTAGATAGCAATTTAATGTTCATTTATATTTATTTTTAAATTGGTGTGCTGCCAAACATGGTTCCTCGGCTCCCTCGGGCTGGCTAACACCATATCATAAATATAAGAACAGTACCAATTTAAAATACAGAAACATAATACAAGGGGGTGGGGAACCTATCTGGCAGGTTCCAGAAACATTTAAGTGTGTGTGCCCTTTCTTTAAGACTTCACTCCCTCCCCTCAAAGCCTGAAGCAGGAAGGATTTCATCAACTATCTCAAAGTAAAAATTGAGCTAGTCATGTTGTAACAGGACTTTTATGACTTGAAAAAGCTCCAGTGGATGGCACTGTGCAGATAAAACAGTGGTGAAGGAAGGTAGGATTTCTTCACAGACATCACCAAAGAATCTGTGTTCAGCTGAACCTAACTTGACCTTTCCTACACCTTTCTGCACCTCATCAAACAGTTCCTTCATTGTTCTCAATTGCCGTGAATATCTAGAGCAAGACTGACCAGGCCTGATGGGAGTTGGAGTCTGCCAACATCTGGAGGTGCATTGGCTACTCCTGTTCTACAGCCATCATGTCCAATACTCAAGTCGGTTCCAGTGGGTGATGGAGGACCAATCTTGGTCAGCCAATTGGTCAAACTAACCCATGAAGCTATTTACCCCAAAACATACCCACCTGTCCATCAGCCAGTGTCACTGGGTAACTTCAGCTGATGGATAGGGGACAGGGTAAAATCCTGCTGAGTACTGTGAATCCTGTAGGCAGCAGGACTACACTCTCTGCTCACCAACTGGAGAGCAGGAAACTCAAGTCTTGCTGGGATTTGCTTTGCCAGGACATTCCCTGCAGGGAATGAGCTCAGGAAGCAGACTGCTCCCCGCACTGCCACAGGAATCCCCACCTATCAGTCAACTGACATAAGATAACTGACATGTTGTGGCCCACCCCCCATCAAAGTTGGGCCCCAGGGGTCGGGGGAAGATAAAAATGTGGCCTATTGAGCTAAGTACCGTATTTTTTGCACCATAACACTCACTTTTTTCCTCCTAGAAAGTAAGGGGAAATGTCTGTGCGTGTTATGGAGGGAATGCCTACGGGTGGCATGCCTACGGATTTTCCTCCTCTAAAAACTACGTGCGTGTTATGGTCGGGTGCGTGTTATAGAGCGAAAAATACGGTAGTTATCCACCCCTGAGCTAGAGCTTTGACAGGACAGTCTGCCAAGCGCACCAAAAATGCAGTTTGGAAACAAACTAGATCCATCAACCTTCAGATGAGAACAATCCTTATTGGCCTACCACGTCTGCAAGACTTGACAGATACTCCCAGAAAGTCAACTGTCCATGACAATGGAGTAGTTGCATCCCCCAAACAGCACCCTCTACCCATTAAGACAGTACCCTAATCGATACACATATTCCATGTCAGTAACCACAAGTTCATGGAAGTTAACACCTTATTTATAGTGGTAATACAACAGCAGAGACTACAAAGCTGAAGTGAAAATTCTTGAAGTATATGAGCTGCTTTTCCATACAAATTAGCATGAAGGCAAGACCAACTTGTTTCTTGATGCATATTTTCATCTCTTACACTAGACTCCTACACAGAATAAGAGATAGCTTTGCATCAATAACAATCCATGTCCTATTTCAAGAAAATTATGCTAATGAATCATTAGGCAAATTAAAGCTAAGCTAAAGTAAGCAATGCAGACTTTTGCTTTCTTCTAATAAGCACATTTGGGGCTCTTAGCCAAAATTTAAAAATCATGTGTTACTGATTCCCTCTAAAAAGCATTATAGCAAGAAACCTGGCTTGTAAGTTAAAATGAGAGTTTAAATATGCTTGTATTAGTGCCATGTTTTTATCTTTTATCCTGTTTTTGCTTTTTGTAAGCCACCTCAACAAGTCTCAAAAAGAGATGGGTCTATAAAATAAAACTTTATCATGGAACCATGGAAAAGGAAAGTAATCACCAAGGAAACCCAAATTAAGGGTTCACAAAAATGAAAAAAATTAAGCACAGATAAGTTTCCATGTATTTTAATACAAACAACCTGCATTGGCTCCAAAGTCTTATTCAAAGTGCTGATGACCCTAAATGGTGTGGGTCATGGATACATCTCTTCTTCTACATGAGCCTAGCCACAGTTTAAAGACCTTCTTCAGGAGCCCTTCTCCATGTGCTCCCTCTATAATGGAAGGGTACAGGGTTGGGCAAGCTAGTGTGTGCTGTGTGGATGTTGCTGGACTACAAATTTTGCCAACCCTGATCATTAGCCATGCTGGCTTGGGGAGAAGGAAACACCATTTTAAAGTCAGGTGGTATCATCAAGTAGTTGCTTGTCATATTAAGTGTGCCACTTGAGTTAGCAAACCATAGCCACCGAAGGAATTAAATAACCTTCACTGTTCACTTACACTGAATTATTTTTGCATAAAATTAAAGTCTACAATTTATATACAGCCCTCTAGCATGATGCAGTGCTCTCATTCTCCATGTGTAAGAGGAAGATAAGATTTCTCATATACATGCTGCAAGAATAAATACATTTTACAGTGATGAGCACCTAAATTATTAAATATACAAACCCTGAAATACCTAAGTTTCAGAGCTCTTTAGAACAGAATATTTATACGTGGGGCTCCAAAAATCTTAACCACACAAGCTATGTTCCAATTTTATCAGTTTATGCAACTGAACTGCAGAAAAAGGAACAAAATCTTTAAATTACTACAGAGTTTTTTTGAAAAGGTAAAAGACTTACCCCCATTATCAGTCCTCTTCAAAGCACCATCCTTATGAGGGCATAATTCGCATCTCTGCAGGAAGGCAAACAGTTATTAAAACAAGAAATAAGGTACCGTTCAAATATTTTCTGTAGTTGACCCATTTCCTATTTGTCTCCTTTCTCATAAATATAGATGCTTTTCTTAAGTTAAAAAAAACTCTCTCTAACAGATATCTATGTCTTAAATCACAGCTCAGTATCCAACATTTCACACACATGGTTTCTATTCATCTAAAGCTACTTATGAGAATGGCCATTTCTGGAGCTCAATTTCTAAATTATAGACAAGCCAAACCTCCAGAGCCTTTAAGTTCTGTATTTACAGGAACAACGACACAATAAGACAACCATGGGTGCTTCTGCATACACACACTGCTCCAAGTGATAGTGCTAAAAGCAACACTGTTGTATCAAAACCCACAAGATAGATCTGTTCTGCATGAGCCACATAATGTTATGACCATTATTGCAAAACTTTATGTTGAGACTGTGATGTTTAGTACAATACTAACCATATCCAGAATTCAAATTAAAGTTGGTTATCTCCACGCTAGCATTATGAAGCTGAGATCAAACAACCAATATTAAATTCAATACATTTGAAAGTAGCAGGAGCATTATGTCGTTTATATTTATTAAGTAATTTATATCAAAATCCAGTTATATCAAAATCCAGAACTTCAGTTCTCCATAGATACTTCTTTTTTACTTCATTGCCAATACAGAATTATAAGAAAGCTTTATCAGTACTTGCAAAAGTATCCTCCAAAACTGGAATTAATAATACCCCAAAGAAGTTCCAGCCAGAGAGCAGCAGGCAGACTACAGAGCCAACCTGATTTATCTCTCTTTGGTTTACAGTGTATTCTCACAGTGGGGTGGTAGGTGTCCAAAAATCAGAGTAAAACATTTATCAAGATAGCAGAGTACCACACTTCTGATGGCACAGTGTTTGTGTCTGACTTCTCTCTCCCCCCCCCGTTGCAGGGAGTCAATGGGGAAGAAAATGAAGGTTAGCATTCCCTCACAAGATCCTCTGCCATCCTCTCCCCTCACCAGAAAAAGGTCGTGGTGGTGGGAAACACAACTATGAAGCATGCAGTACAGTATTTCTGCAACTGTTAGCCTCTGAGCAGCACTGAAAATCCTGCCTGGTTCTCTCTGTACTTCCATATTAAAACTAGAACATGAAAAAATCCAGGCAAAGGGGAAAAATGAATTTCTATGGCTTCCAGCGGATATATGCCCACTGTTAACCTGAGAATGAGAAAGCTTCACCCCCTGCTAAGAATAATACATTTTGAGCAATGCTACCAAGATAAGAACTAGATTAAAACATGTACCCAAGTATGACACACCAATTCAAACTTACCACTCTAGCTGCTCTTTCCTGAGATTCACATTTTCTACAAAACCAAGGTCCAGTAGGTACTTGTACAATTCCATAGCATGCTATTTTGGGAGAAGAAACCAAATAATCATATTAAAAATATGTATATTATACAGAAAAAATAAGTCCTGCAAGGGTAAGTGCAAGGGTCATTCTGAGAGTACATTTGCAAACTGGAGAAACTGTTGTGGACACCACACATACATTTCAACCAAGCACACACCATAATGTATTCTACTGGCTACCATAGAATGTTTCTTTCAAGTCTAACTTCAACAGGGGGAGAGGTGGAAGAGAGGATGCTGTGGGAGCCCTTGGTCAACGGGTAAATAAATTTTATTTCATCTGTCTAAAAATCACAGGTTATCAGTTTATTTTAGGGTTGTGCATTGGATTCAGAAGAACTCAAGCTAAAATTTTATGCCTCAGTAGTACAGTCTTTGCTTCAGGTTGCACGTTTTCAGGTTGTGTCCCACAGCAACCCGGAAGTACTGGAAAGGGTTACTTCCTGGTTTTGCCGTTCGCGGGTTGCGTTATTTTCAGGTTGCGAACAGGCCTCCGGAAGGGATCCCGTTCTCAACCAGAGGTACCACTGTATTCCCTCCCAAGGGAAATGGGACACATAGAAAGCCAGAGACAGATTTAATTATCTTTGACGAAGACCCCCCGATGGCACCAGCAATTCAAATAACACCGTCGATGCCAGGAAATCGGGAAAATGCTGCAAATCAACCCCAAGAACAACAACACAGTGCATATCCTAAGAACGGTTGCATCATTACCGAACCAGTGGGAGAGCTGATAACAATTTCCCCACCACAATGAAGCCAAGCCAGTTATGGAACGAGCAGCTTTAACATTATCTCATGGAACATAGCGGGTTGGGCTAACAAACTTGGGGACGAGCCATTTCGTGAATATATAACGGGTTTTGACATAATAATGCTGCAGGAAACTTGGGCAACTGATAACATAGCTCTCGACGGTTACGACGTCTATGAAATCAAGGCCTCTAAACCGCTTGGAAGGGGACGACCGAGGGGGGGGCTAGTAACTCTGGTTTCCACTCAATTGGCGTCACAAGTTATTGAGTGCTCAGTTTTCGAGCAGCTGGCTCTGGGGATCATCTTGCATATGGAATCCAAGAGTATTATTCTTGTTTCAGCGTATATTCCACCATATACAGTGCAAACACAGATAGAGAGCACGTGGCGTAAATTCCATAGTTTCCTTTATTCCCTACAAATTAGGTACCCTGGCTCGCCATTTTACCTAATGGGAGATATGAATGCCAGAATAGGCTCAAATGATGATAGCCTGGAAATAAAATTCCCAATATTAAGAGATCTAAAGGAAAATAGCGCCCTCTTGCTAAACCCACCCCCACGTAGACATTCGAAAGATTGCCAAATCAACTATGCTGGATTCTGCCTGGCTTTTTTACAAATAAGTCTTGATCTGATCTTTGCTAATGGGGCATTCCCCGGGGACAGAGAAGGCGAGTACACATTCATAAATACAAATGGAGCCAGCACAGTAGACTACTGTCTCACTAACAGACAGGCCTTCGGATCAATTAAAAAATTCACCATAGATAATAGGACTGAAAGTGACCACTTACCTCTTATCATCTCCACTACTGGCCAAAATTCAATTCAGCACTCTCACATAGAACATGAGGATATAGACAAAGCAAATGAGCCAGCATTGCGTAGGAAAAAATGGACACCTGAGATAGCAATTGCAGTTGAGAATAGATTGAATTCACAAACTGCAATTAAGTTAAGATCAATTATAATAAACAATTTATCAATAGACTCCTCCCTGACAGCTTATGAAAATCTCATTGAGTCCTTGCAGGATGTGGTCTCGGTTAACATAAACTCAGCTGGCAAGCCACGCACTGCTAAAGGGCGCAGTTGGTTTGACCAAGAGTGCCACACAAAGAAGGAAGCCTTAAGGAACGCCTATTTGGCCTATAGAAACGCTGGATTAAGCTACTTACCTCAATCTTATTTCAAAATCAAAAAAGAGTATAAAGCCCTTTTGGCCTCAAAAAAAAAAGGCAGTCCGAACAAAATTCCTGGTCCCTACTATTGAATGCCTCACTAAACAATGAAACTAAACTCTTTTGGCAACTGGTCTCCAACTCAATGAAAAATAGTTCCTCAGCCCCCAGCTGTGTCATTCCAGCTCAGGTTTGGGAGAACCACTTCAGAAATATATTTATGGAAAATCCAAACCTCCCTTCCAGCTTACAGGATGATGACAGGGCAGGATTGTCACTCCTCCCTAATTGGAGGCCGGTTACTGTGGAGGAAGTCCATACATTAATTGGGAATCTGAAGAGTGGAAAGGCTCCGGGGAAAGACTTTATCCCAGCTGAGTTGATTACATCAAACCAGCACTGGTGGGCTCCGCTTCTGGCAGCACTCTTTACGGTAGTAAATAACTCGGGTAAGGTACCACATAGCTGGAAACATGCTATAGTAGTTCCAATCTTTAAGAGAGGCCACTCAAATGTACCTTCCAATTATAGGCCTATTAGCCTGCTCTCAATAATTGGGAAACTGTATGCCCATTTCCTCAGTAGCAAACTGACAACTTTCCTAAATGAACATAATATACTATCTGAAGCCCAGGCAGCTTTTCGTGAGAATCATTCAACAACAGACCACTGTCTAATGCTGTCCTTCCTAGCTGAGAAGTATACCAGACCTCTACAGGGCAAACTCTTCGTGGCCTTTATGGACCTGAAATCAGCATTTGACTCCATCCCCAGATCCCAGCTATGGTCCAAATTGAGTCTGATTTTGCAGGACAAACGACTTCTCTTTCTTATAAAAGCCCTGTACAATGGAACCAAACTGCAGGTCCGATGCGGTCGACAGGGACAGTTATCGAACAGCATCGAGATGACTAGGGGGGTGAGACAGGGTTGTATTTTGGCCCCCACATTGTTTTGTCTATTCTTAAATGACCTAGAAGAGAACTTAATGGGCCCAGATGGACACATTCCAAAAATAGGAATGAGAAGGACCCCTTTGTTGTTGTATGCTGATGACGCAGCCATCATCTCGCGTTCCAGACCGGGCTTGAATTATCTGTTGAGGAAATTTTCTGATTACTGTTCTGGAAATGGCTTATCCATTAATTATGAAAAATCTAAAATCTTAGTCTTCGAAAGAAGATTCTCCCAGTCTAAATGGGTGCTGGATGGCCATAACCTTGAACAGGTAAAATACTTCAGTTACCTAGGGCTCACATTCCATCATACAGGATCTTGGAAGCACCATTTGCAAACCTCCCTTCAAAAGGCGGAGATTACAAAGCTAGCCATACATAGATTCTTCTTCACAAAGGGCGGCAAATATGTTCCAGCAGCCTTAAGGGTTTTCAACGCAAAGCCCGTTTCCCAACTCCTGTATGCAGCAAATGTCTGGCATAATGGGGACCTGCCAAAGCTAGATGGCTTTCAGGCAAAATTTATACGATCTCTGCTGCAGGTACCTAACTGCGTCCCCAACTCCGTACTTCTGTTGGAAGCTGGTGAATGCCCAATTTCAGCTAGAGCGTGGTGGGCTGCCCTAAAACATTGGCTCAGGACTTCAGTGTTTAATCTAGGGAAGGGTCTGTACCAACATTTGACCAATGAGGAATATGTCAGCAAATGGCAGAAAACCATGGCTAAAAAAGCCACCTCTATTGGTCTGTCTCCCCCCCAACTGTATTACCTGGGCTATGAAGGCGCCCAAAAGCTTTTAAAGCAAAGATTATGGGACAATGCACACAGTGACTTGCGATCTCGGTCACACGTAGTCTGTAGTCCACTGGCAGCAGGAGTTCAATATGGGTATGTCTTTGAGTTAACATCTTACATCAAAAACCTGACAGTACCTAACTATCGAAGGCTTTTCACCAAAGCCAGACTGAATGTCTTCCCTTCTGCAGTGCTGGATGGTAGGTTGAGAGGAGTTCCCTACCAGGACAGACTTTGCTCGTGTGCTCAAGACATCGATTCCATAAATCATATTTTGTTACATTGTGCGAAGTATGAGCAGGCCAGGGCTGAACTGATACTACCCTTGCTGGTGCCTTTCCCGGGAAAGTCAGAGGCTCACTATGTCAGGTTCCTACTGGAAGACCGGACAAAAGCCAGAACGTTGGCAGTGGCAAAGTTTTTATCGGTAGTTGCAAGAACAAATGAGCCCTATAGTCCAAACAAAGTGCTTGATTAACCTGGAGGTAGGCTGTATGAACTCTGTATTGATTTGTAATGTTTTGTTGGTCTCTGGACCGTAATAAAGTTTGTTGTTGTTGTTGTATTGTAAGCTTACCTGGGTAATGAAAGGGCCTGTGCAAGTCTGCACCAGTTAAAGCAGGGGCCCTAAACCACTTCATACTGACTCAGTGATACAGACCTTTTAAAAATGCTGCAGACAAATGTCTACTAAAACTGAAGCTATGCTTCTATGCTTACCACACAAGGAAAATGCCAAATTGTGAGGTGAAGGGGCAACAGGTACACTACAAAATTGAAATTTAGCTCGCCAAGCTTAGGAAAGATGTCAGTATAGAATGGGATAGCTTGTAATCATAAAGCAAACCCCTTTGAGTTATTCCTATGCCAAAATCCGTTTTTATAAGGTGTATCCCACCTACTTGCCTGCAGAGTTCGAAATTAGCAGGGCACCAGGCACATTTTGCACATACAGATTCTCCATTTGTGAGCACCTCAGAAAGTTTAGGTGCCATTTTTTGCGCCTGGCTGACACTCAAGGATTACTGAAATGTATGTGCTTTGAAGCCTTGAAGTATATGTTAAGGATAGACAATCCTTAACTCCTTAAGAAGTTTAACAATAAAGAGTAGTGTTTGGAAAACTGAAGTATAGTACCAATATTTTTATTTCAACACCAAATTAAACATATATTAACAATTTCCTGCTAAAAATGTGATATTAACAATATGTCTCTTATGCTTATCAAAATAATAAATAAAAAGTGTTGCCGACCCCCACCCCACCCCCTGACATTCTGTTTTGGCACCCAAAACCCAGGTC